CCTCAGCCCCCACTCCCCACCACTGGAGGGTCTTTGTACACACCCACTGGTGCTCAGTCCCCCGGATGGGGAATTTCTTGCACCTCGCATTTTGTTCCCTGGATGTCCCAGCCACCAAGGTTGTGCTTCTCTCTCCAGCTAAGAGCAGCTATTCCCACCGTGGTCTGGTCACGGTGTCACCTGGTCACAGTGGTGCTTGCTTGCTTGGGCCCTCCTGCATTGCCACTCCACTTTGGATTAGGGTCCCTTGCCAGCCTGAGGGATCAGTTTCCTCCCCTGCTCCAAAGCCACAGGAACAAGGCCTTCCTCTAGGGAGGAGTGCCAGGACCCCTGCGCACATGGAGCTCCACACTGGGCCCAGAATGGTGAAAAATAGCAGGGCGCCCCAGGGATCAACCTGTGCTCAGCAGTGGTGGACAAGCCTTCACCCCTGCCAGGAGGGCTGCGTGGAACCTGGCCAGCAAGCACACCTGGGCTTCACCTTCACTTGGGGAGTTCAGGGTTACAGTCTGCACAAGAGGCTAATTTTTAAATTGGGGCAGGCAAAGGGAAGGGCTGTATTAAAATGGCTCAGCTGGATCCAGTTAAGGCTGAGTGCTGTGTTCTACAGTGGGCCGCCAGACTTCCTGTTTCTCACATTCCCTTCCACACCAGGAGTGTGCAGTCACGCGGGTGTGCATGATGGTGGGCAGGCCACTTTCTCTGGAGCTGTGCTCTTCAGATCTGTGCCACTCCCCCTGGATGCCAGGCTCTGTGGTGGTGTGCCTATGGCAGGGTGTCTGAGAGTGACTTTCTTTGTGTCCTGTGGTTAGGCACACGGCATCTGTGTAAGTTCTGAAACATCCCATCAAGATAACAGAATTTCAAAGAGCCGGGGCTGCTCATCTGACTATGCGGGCCATTGTGTTTCTGTTGGTAGACTGAGATGAAGTGGATTTTAGGGGATCTGCTCTCTTTATGAAGGTGGACAATATTTGTTATCCAGAGATAGGTGTGATAGAGGATATAGTTTAACACTTTGTTGCCACTGGTTTTTAAAATTAAAGTAGCTTCTCAGAAGCGCTTCTTGTTAGGAGTGGCTCGACCCTGGGACCTGCTTCTCCCTGCTGAACCAGCATGCTGCTGCTGCTGCTTTCTCAGGTCATTCCAAGGACACTTGGGACTTGCTGGTGAGCTCATCCCATGCCGCCCGAGACGCTCGCAGAGCTCAGGCAGAATGGGCACTCGAGGTGCTCATCTGGCTGTGTGCACAGCTTCCAGAAATCCCCGTGTAGCATCACCAAGACCCGGTCTTGAGGTGCCCTTCCTGCTTTTCTGTGGCACTGTAGTGTGCTCACCGATCGTAAGTCCCCTGCTCCAGGTTGCATGGTGTGGGCATTGGTGGTCGCCAGGCTCAGGCTCCAGCTGAGTTTCCCCAGAGGTGTCTCCTGTCAGCTGAGCATTGCCTCCATCTCTTCCCGGGTGCTGTGGTGCCCATGGAAGTGCCTGTCACACCAAGAGCTGCCTCTGAGAGAATATCTAGCCTTTGTGCAGAGCACCTGTTGGGAAGGGTGTGTCCCAGAGTGGGGAGCTCAGCATGTAGCATGCAGCCCACCCAGGCTTCTTGACATAGTTTTGCCATTTGGCTTATGCCCAAATTACAAAATGTGTGTTATTATCCAAAAATGATACGGTCTTTCTTTTTCACATGGTCTGTTCCCCGTAGAATTTAGCATATTTCTAAAATATCTGTCTCCTCCGACTGTAGGTGTATTTTTGTCTTAATGTTTCTTAGCACCATAGGAGACTGAGCCCAGGCTGGTGCATGGGAGGTGAGTGCCTACCGCTGAGCTGCCCCCCAGCCCTCTAGCTCTCATTGTCAAGCAGGAGGTCCTGTTGGGCTGCATTAGAGCACTTACTTTAAAATTCAGCCTCGGGGCCAGGATGTGATCCTGACAGAGAGGCTGGATCTCAAGAGAAGGATCCCTATATCCCTGGCCATGTGCCATGGGGCCTGGCAGCCTGGCACTCATCACCTGGTGCAGAGGGCCCTGGCGCGAGTCCTGTGTTGAGCGCAGAAAGCGGGGGATGCAGGATCTCACTGTTCCGGAAGGAAGCAATGGCTCCAAGAACCAGTGCACAAAAGCTCCGGCACTTTGTTCTGGGGCCACAGAATGGGGCCAGTAGTAGCACCTCTTGTCACCACCCTGGAATAGTGGCAAATCACTGAGTTTTTTTAGAGCAGAATTGGGTGCTCTTGGCCTGAGGTGCAGAGAGAGCTGGGCACTCTAGAAAGAGTCCTGTTACTGTGTTCCAAGCTTTGGGTCTAATGGCCAGAAGAGTTCTTGTTTTCTTGAAAACTGAGCAGTAAAAGAAGAGTTAAATATTGATCATAATGCCAGGCATGGTGGCACTCACCTATACTCCAGTAACTCAGGAAGGTGAAGCAGGAGGAGCGCAAGTTCAAGGCATCCTCACCAACTTAGTGAGACCCTCTCTCAAGATAAAAATAGAAAATGGCTGAGGGTGTGGCTCAGTGGAAGAATATCCCTGGGTTTGATCCCCGATACTTAAAAGATAAAGGAACAATATCTGTCATACTTATTTTTGTAATTGTGGTAGAGAAAATGGGTAGTTTGGTTGTTGACACGTGATGGCGTGCATAGACGGGTGCCCTTACCTAGATGGGAAGTCAAGTAAATGGGTGTGCTCTATGTAGCTGTTCAGCCTGTACAAGTCACCATTTTGGAAAAGTCGCTGCCTGTGTTGGGGCACGCTTAGCAGCAAGTGACCCAGCTGCCTAGCTCCAAGGCCCACTGCAAAGCAGGGAAGTGGTTGATACCACCAGCACCACAGGGAGGAGTGGGCTGGCCGTGCCAGTGCCCTTCAACACGGGCCTTCTCCCCGAGAAAATTGGAGCTCTGGTGTTTCCACCTGGGGTGGTAGCACAGGTCAGGTGCCAGTTTGGTTCACGGAAGCCCAGTAGGAGAGGCAGCCAGGATGGCCAGAGGCCTGGGCCAGCACCCCTCTGGGTTGGTTCCACCTGTTCCTAATGTCTGGGACCGTGGTGTGCAGTGTCCTACCTCCACTGCCTTCTCCTTCCCAGAGCTGCACTCTCTCCTTGATCCTGGTCCCTGAAGCCCAGAGGGGCTGTCGCAGGGTGCCGTAGTCATTGCCTAGAGCAGCGCATGCCTGGCCCCAGGGCTGGGGACTACTCTGCCACCTGCTGTCTCATCAAAGTCACTGGCAAAGTGCCAAAGGCGTGTGACCTATTTAGTCCACGTCATGAAGGACACCTCCCAGGGAGTGACCCCAGGGAGGCTCACCCAAGAGTGATCTGCACTGTGCAGTGTGGCTTCCCCGAGCCATTAATTAGGTCGTAGCCGCTGTCCTGAGGAGGTTGCCTACGCAGGACTCCTCCCCTCGCTGCTGCCAGATTGGCTCCTGGGGCCTCCGCGCCCTCCTGTCCAGCGCGCCACTCGTCTACTGGCCTTGGTTTCCTCTGTTCATGAATGGCTCTCTTGTTTCAGTTCAGAAACCTTGGTGTTTGTTATTCTACCTGAGATCAAAACACTCACTGCTTTCTTGGTATAATCACTGTTAGCTAATTTAACGCCTATTATCCCCAGAAGCCTACTGGTGACCTCAGGAACTCTTTTTTTTAAATTTCCGCTGCAGCGTCTCAGGAAGGTAAACTGTGATTGTGCCTCTAGGGTGGAAGAAAAGGCCATGACTGTTGAAGGTTATTGACAGGCCAGTGTTTATCTTTAGCAATAAAATAGTTTATGAAATATTCTGCACATATTATTGCAGAAAGATAGCTGACTAAAGGTAACCTAGGAATTTAAAAATGACTTGAGCCCACTGCAGTGGCACATGCCTGTAATCCCAGCAACTCTGGAGGCTGAGGCAGGAGGATCACATGTTCAAGGCCAGCTTCAGCAACTCAGTGAGACCCTGTCATGAAATAAAACATTAAAAGGGGGCTGGAGTTGTGGCTCAGCGGTAGAGCACTTGCCTAGCATGTGCGAGGCCCTGGGTTCAATCCTCAGCATCACATAAAAATAAATAAATAAAGGTATTGTGTGCAGCTATAACTAAAAAATATTTTAAAAACCCCACACATTAAAAGGGTCGGGGGATGCAGCTCAGGGATGAATCACGCACCCCTGGCTTCAATCCCCAGTACCAAAAAAATATGAAAGTAAGTCAAGGAGGACACTGTGTGGCTCAGTGGTAGAGCTCGTGCATGGCCATGGGCTCCATCCCTGGCACCAAATTAAAGGGAGAAAGCCGACTCGGGAGTGTCCTGATGGCAAGCCCACACAGGGGCCCCTCCTCTCGGCTGGCCTGTTTCTAAGTGTCAGTGTAGGTGACCACATGAAGTCAGAGGGGTTTCTTCGTGCTTCTAGAGTACTAGCTCCAGTGTAGACATGTCACTTGAAGATGGCAGCATGGCGAGTCATGACACAGTCCCACCACCCCACATGCCTCCTCATGTCACCCTGTCCTGAGTTCTGGAGAGGAAGCCTACGGGCCAAACCAGGACCACCCAGGGACACACTCTGGCCAAGGCTGCAGAGCCGAATGGCAGTGTGCAGGAAAACCGGCGTCATCGCTCACTTGCTTTAGATCGCAACGTTTTTAGTGTTAAAATCTGTGGTGTTCTCCATTTCTAAGACTCTTCACCAAGCGTGGTTTCCTCTTCGTAGACATTTTTCTTCACTGTTTAGAGAATGGATAAGTGGATGTGAGGACTGCAGTGAAAGCCCCTGCCCACTGAGGAGACGGTGGCTCCATGGAATCAGGGGTCGCCTGCTGTTCCTCGCCCCGGTGTCCTCGGTGGCACGTGCAGCTGGCTGGGTGGATGTTGCTGATAGCATCAGGCTGCAGGGGACTGACGGGAATGAGAATGTCTGCTGCTGCCCCTTTGAAGTGCTCAGAGAGGGCACTTGGCAGTTCGTTCACATGGGTGCTGATGGTGCCAGTCTGTCCTCAGTGTCTCCTTGTTCTGTTCGCAGGCATGAGTTGCTGGAGGAGGCCCGGCGGCAAGGCTTACCATTCGCGCAGTGGGACGGACCGACGGTGGTCGTGTGGCTGGAGGTGCGCTGGGGGTGGAGCCGAGGGCCTGTCCCAGGCAGGGGCAGCTGTGGTGCTCATCCCCTGCATTAACGCTCTGCCTTGCCCACTCTGTCTCCAGCTCTGGGTTGGGATGCCCGCCTGGTACGTGGCTGCCTGCCGAGCAAACGTGAAAAGCGGGGCCATCATGTCAGCCCTGTCCGACACCGAGATCCAGCGGGAGATTGGCATCAGCAACCCCCTGCACAGGTTGAAGCTGCGGCTGGCCATCCAGGAGATCATGTCGCTGACCAGCCCATCTGCCCCTCCCACGTCGAGAACGGTGCGTTTAGCGGGGTTCAAGGGAGGGTCCTCCTGTTCTCCGGGGAGAAGGAACCCTGCCCTCAGAGGTGCTTTCCAGTTAGTAAGCACACTACCCAGGGTGGCTCTGATTCAGAGTTGCAGTGTTCAGATACCCCAGAGATTGCCACTGGGAGCTGAGTGGTCCAAAGGAACTTGACCAAATGTTTTTGTGAAAGCACAGCTAGAAAGGCCTCGTTTAAAAATAAACAAATATGAATCTATCAAAATTGAATCAGTCTAAGGGCTTTTGGGGAGGGAAAAAAATTAGCATTTTAAGTACATGCTTTATATAAAACTTGGAATTTCATTTTCTATTCCATAGTGGAAAGTAAATGATCAGCGTTTGCACTGTACAAAAGGACACTTGTGAAAAGCACATGGTGGGTGTGAGGGTTCTAAGGTGTTATCAGAGAACGCACATAGGGCAGTACCCAGTAATCCTGGGCTGTGCCCTCGAGCTCCTGCCCTGCGGGTGGAGGGCTAGCCGTGGACTGGTGCTGTGCTGCGTGCAGAAGGATTGGCCCCCTCATCCTCGTATCTGGCCCTCCCCCACCCCCCGTGCCCTGTGTGGGAGCAGCAGGCCTGGAGTGCTGCCGGGTTGCTGTGGCGCCCTGGCACTTCCTGGCTCCGCAGGCCGCCACTGACCCCAGCGCATGCGTGACTGAGAGTGGGCTGACCCTCCACAGACTGTCTCCCAGAATTCTTCACTCCCTGCTTTCTCCCATGGCAGCTAAGAGGCAGCAAGGGCATCCCCACCCTGTCATTCTGGCTCTTGGCCTACAAGTGTTTTCCCCTGTGGCTGGGGCCAGCGCTCAGGGCCCAGTACAGGTCGTGGCCTGTGGGTGTCTGACCGCCGTGATTGCTGCTCATGTGGTGGGGGGGTACGAGCAGAGTCCCCAAGCAGGGGGTTGAGGAGGTGAGAAGCCATTCTGCGGAGAGCATGGATGGTTGTTGGGTTCGGGGGGCCGCCTCCTGATTGGCAGAGTTGAGATGTGGCACAGGGCTGCCCTGCCCTGTACTTTAGCCTACCCTGGAGAGAGGACCCCTGCCTAGAGCCCAGGAGCCAGACTTCTGATGAGCAGACTTCTAGCCCCAGCCTGACTTGAGGCCACAGTTCCTTTACAGAAAAATGTTGAGATACTTTTACTTGTCTCTGCCTTTTTTAAAATCAAAGACCTTTGGAAATGAGCTAAGGAGGCTTGTTCTTGCTCATGGCTGAGAGTGCTCGTCCTGGGGGAGCACTCTAACCAGATCAAGTCAGCTTGTACTCAGGAACAGGGACTAGAGTGCACAGCAGGCAGACTGCACTGCCAGCGCCAGCCCAGAAGTGGCCCTGAGGTACTCAGAGGGCCTGCAGCGTGGCCTCCAGCTAGCCTGATGCCCTGCGCCTCGTAGTGCCCACCCTGGCCCCTTGGCTCCCTCTGGCTTCAGCCATTGGGCTGAGAGCAGCTGTGAGCCCTTGCAGCGAGGAGCCTTGGGAGAGCTGCAGCACAGCCTCCCGCTCTGTTGTCCCTTGTTAACTGTATCTACGTGGCACTTACATTTTTTGGTGGGTGGAGGTTGGTGTAGGGTTTCTTTTCTTTCTTTTTCTTTTTTTTTTTTAATATTATTTATTTATTTTTTAACAATACCTTTATTTACTTAGTTATTTTTATGTGGTGCTGAGGATCAAACCCAGTGCCTTATGCATGCTAGGCAAGCACTCTACCAGTGAGCCACAGTCCTAGCCCCTGGTGTAGGGTTTCTTTTGGGGTTCTGGGGTCAAACCCAGGGCCTTGCACACCCAGCATACAGTCTACGTGGGAAGACTGTTGTGAGTACCTTGAGTCAGTCGTCACTAGGGGACTTCAGACTCGCCAGAAGTGGCAAGTGGGTCTTCCTTTGCCTGTATTTGGGTACTGTGGGGGGAGGTGCTGGCATCCAAGCTCAGGAAATCCTGTGCTGCATAGTGTTGCTGACCACGTGGGGCAGAGTGTGGTCATTCCTCAGTGGGAGGAGCTTGGGTGTGTGTCCTGCCAAACTTCTGTGGGCTTCTGAGCTGGAGCTATGCGAGGAGCCCCTGCTCGGCCCCTTCTCTGCCTGTGGCTTATGTGTGTGCCTCTCCTCTTTATCACGCTTCCCCCTGCCCTGGACGTGGCTGGTGCGCTGGGTCGCCTCAGACCACAGGAAATGTCTGGTTGACACACGAGGAGATGGAGACCCTTGCTGCCACGCCACACACGGTCAGTCACACCCTGCAGCTCGCACCCCATGGTGCGCTTGCCGCTGAGTCCAGCTGATTTTTGCCTTTTTGTTGAAAACTAAAACTATCAAATTTATTTTGTATTTAATTGTTTCAGATAAGTATTCCTCTTAGGTTATTAGTTAAACGTGTAAAGTAGAATTTTGTGCTTTGTTTTAGATTTTTTTTCTGGAACTTAAAGCTGGTAGCCTCACTCTGCTTGGAGTGATTGTAATTTCTCTCTGCATTTGGAGAGACTGCAGTTTAGCACCGTGGATCGTCTGACCCCAGCTTGCTCCTTTGACAGCTGTGGTGCATGAGAGTCTGCTCCCTGCATGGCTGGTGTTGGTGGTGCGTGCTGCATGATGTGTGGTGCTGTGGACGTTTGCTCCCTCGTGCTGCACCCGCCCTGCAGAGCTGACGTGGCTCACCTCTACTAATGGTCATGTTCTTTTGCATTCCTAACCACGTGACGTCAGGAAGACGAGGAGGGAAGCTGGGCTCAGGTTGGAGCTTTTCTATGATACCTTCTTCGCTCTGTGTTGGAGTACGAAAACTCGTACAGTTTGCTTTTCTAGGGGTCTTAGCGTCTTAATCAACTAGTAGTGTTTTTAATGATCTGAAAACATTAATCAAGTGAAGCATAGGATTAAAGAGTGCGTCTCATGGACAATTTTGAATGTCCCTCCTGAGGAGCCGTGGAAGCTGAACCTGGGATCTTTCACACTCAGCCCTGCAGGTGGCTCCTGAGGTTGTGCACACCTGGCTCCATCCGGGGTAGCGCTAGTCAGACCAACTGGCAAGAAACCATGGGACACAGTACAAAACTCCAGCGCTGGCAAGGTGCCTCCTCCTCTCTGTTGGCATTTCACTAAGAATATCCTAACACTGTAGGTTTAAAGATTTTATTGATGATCTCAGAAATAAAGCCTCTTGGTCTGGGGGTGTAGCTCAGTGGAAGAATACTTGCCTAGCGTTGGCAAGGTCCTGGATTTGATCTGCAGTACCAAAAAAAAGGAATAGAAATGAGCGCGAGCTGTTTCCTCCTCTGGTACTTTTGAAGTATAACCAGTGACGCTGGATGCCCCAGCCATGCCTGTCGTCCCAGTGACTCGGGAGGCTGAGGCAGGAGGATAGCGAGTTCCCGGCCAGCCTGGGCAACTAGCGAGACCTTGTCTCAAAATAAAAAATAAAGAGGGCTGGGATGTAGCTCAGTGGTTGAGCACCCGCGGTTCCATCTGCAGTGTGCATGGACGTGTGTATAGATGGACGTGGAAAGAGGGAGGTAGGAGAAGAGCACCCCGCTATCCCACTTTTCGTCCCTCTTACACCAAGGAGGAGTGGCTGTGGACGCTGGGTTTCACCACCCTGGGCTAGGGGTCTGTGGCTCCCTCTAGGCATAACCTCATTAATTATCATTTAGGCCTTTTGTGGGACCAATAAGGACTATCAGTGGATTAAATAGGACTCATTTCTTAATTGCTTAAATTTCAGGGCATTTTACGGGATGACACTGAACACTATCAGCAGTTGAATGTGAAATTGCCAGCATCAGAGACATGCAGGAGACATTAAATAGCTTGACACGTACCCTTGGCCATGGGACCATGACTAGGACCGTGCAGGTGCAGGGTGGCCCACCATGCTGCGGCTGGCCTCTGCTGGTGTCACTTTACTCCAGGCCAGGGCAGGCACACAGCCTGCTCTCCCTGCTGCCCTGCAGTGGCAGCTGCTTGTTCTGTTTCGTTTTGGTGCTGGGGATTATACCCAGGGGTGCTCTACCACTGAGCTGTGTCCCTGCCCTTTTTATTTTTTATTTTGAGACAGGGTCTCACTAAGTTGCTGAGACCGGCCTCCAACTTGCAATCCTCCTACCTCAGCCTCCTGAGTCACTGGGATTACAGGCATCATCAGCTCTTAGCCAAGAGGAGATGTAAACTGCCCCTGGACCCTCAGGGAGGAAGCACCGAGGCGCTTGCACTTAACAGATAGGAGAGTGCTGCTGTGTGGACACTGCCAGCTGCCAGGAGCCTCCATGAGCAGGACCAGCACAGAGCTCCATCTCGCTGAGCACAGCTGGGCCTGAGGGTGTGAGTGCACACTGTGTGGGGGTGCTCTGACGTGAGCCCCTTCTTGCTGCCGGCAGTTCCAGTACAGCCATGCAGACTGTGAAGAGTATGTGCTACGAGACCAGAGACCGTGGCTCCTGCGGGTTCTGCTTCCATGTATTGCCATGGTTTGGTGTTTTGGTTGGTTGGTTGGTTTGTTTATTTTGGGGTACCAGGGTTTGAACTCAGGGGCGCTAGACCACTGAGCCACATCCCCAGCCCCATTTTGAATTTTATTTAGAGACAGGGTCTCACTGGGTTGCTTAATACCTTGCTGTTGCTGAGGCTGCCTTTGAACCCGCAGTCCTCCTGCCTCAGCCTCCTGAGCTGCTGGGATTACAGGTGTGCACCACTGTGCCCAGCTTGGTTTGTTTTTGGTTTTTTTTGTTTTTTGTTTTTTTTTTTTTTTGGAGACAAGGTCTTGCTGAGTTGCAGGGGCTGGCCTCAAACTTGTGATCTTCCTGCCTCATCCTCCTGAGTTTCTGGGATTGCAGGCGTGGGCCCAGCATTACAATTCTGTAGTAGACATTTTCTTTACTTTTTCTGCCCATTCAAGAATACATAGCCTGTAGAGCAGAAGACGGCCTCCAGCCTCCATGCTGTGAGCAGTAGGCCCAGGAGGAGGGTGGAGAGAGTGAACTGGTGGTGAGACCACAGTGTGCCTGTCACCTCACTCCCAGTTGTTCAGAGGAGCATTGTTTCCTGTTGGAATTTGAGTCGCTCTTTCCAGCTTGACTGGAACAAATATCACATTGGATGGACGTGGTGGTGGTGTGTGCGCCTGCAGGGTTGCTGTGAAGGTGACCTGGTCTTGGCTGGAGGGCACCCGGGCTTTCCCTGCTGTGTATGTGCAGTTATGTTTGTTTTTCATTGTACAAACCTCACACGCGTTCGATTCATCTGAGAATTTTACAGAGTTGAATGCCATTACAAATGATGTGTGAGAACCTCATTTTCAACTTCACTGCTAGTATTCAAAAACACTTCCCTCTCGCTCTTTCTTCTCTCCTTTCCCTCCTTCCCTCTCTCGCCCGAGCCACTGTATGACTGAACCACATCCCCAGCCCTTTTTATTTTATCTTGAAACAGGGTCTCACATAGTTGCCCAGGTGGGACTTGAACTTGGGATCCTTCTGTCTCCGCCTCCCAAGTTGCTGGCCCTGAAGGGATAGCCATGATGCCCAGCCTAGAAATACGGTTCACTCTCACGCATCGGCCTCGCACCCTGGAGCTCTGCTCAGTGCGCGTGTCGGCTCTGACAGCTGTCCTGACCCTAGAGTCCTGTCCTCTGTAAGGACTTGGTCTCTGCCCAGCAGTGTGCTCTCTCATTCTTTCCTTGCTCTGTGCGGTGGCCAGGCCTCCAGGGCAGCGCTACTTAGAGCTGGTAGGATGGGCGCCACTGCCTGCTCCCTGCTCCCCTGAGGAGGAGGCCAGCTGTAGACGTCTGTGGCTGCCTGGCCTCAGGTCAGGGCAGTCTCCGTCATCCCTCAGTTGCTGAGGCTGGTCTTGAACTTGCCATCCTCCTGCCCCAGCCTCCCTAGTTGCTAGGATTGCACACGCGCACCACCACACTGAATGGTTTTCTTTTCCAATCTCTTCATGTAGGGTAAACTTCATTGATTTTTTTTTTTTTTTTTTTTTTTTTTTGTGCCCTCCAAATGTTGAACTAATCTTTGTGCCTGGAATAATGAACCCCATTAGTCAAAATATCTTATTTTTTAAATATTTTATTGACTTGCTAATATTTTGTTAGGGATTCTTACATGATTGTTTAGTGTTAATTTTCAGCTATTTGGGCAGTTTCTAGCTATCTGCCTCCTTCCTCCACCTCCAGGTGGCTGGCACTGCAGCAGCACCACTGCATCTGACCTGTTGAATTCTGATTTATTTTATTAAGGTCAGAGGACACCCTTTGTGTGATTCCTGCTTCTAAATATGGTGAGAGGCAGTGCACCTCAGTGGTGGGCACGTGCGCGGCATGCCCGTGCCCAGGGTTCAGTCCCCAGCACCATCTGAGGAGGGCTCCTGCTGCACCGGGCCTGGCACACAGCTCTCGCCCTGCTGCTCCATGGGGCAGAGGTTGCTGGGGCCCAGCAGCTCCAGGCTGGGCTGTGCTGTGCCAGTCTGGTATCTTCATCCCTTGGCACTGAGGAGCCAGTGAGCTTATGCCGCTGCCCGACTCAAGCCCAGCAGCTTGGAAGGACTGTGGGGAGGAGGAGAGGAGAGGGCTCTGTGAGGTGCAACCAGAGCAGGGGGTGACGTGCGTCCTTCGGAGCACTTCCTTTCCGTTACCGTCTTCTCCAACCAGTGATTGAGAGAAGAGTGTCGATGTCTTCTGACTATAATTGTGTATTTGTCCCGTTCAGTCCTGTTAGTTATTGGTTTATTTCTTTTTTAAAACTATTTTTTACTTTTTAGCTGCAGTTGGACACAATACCTTTATTTTATTTATTTTTATGTAGTGCTGAGGATGGAACCCAGGGCCTCACACGAGAGATGAGCATGAGCCACAACCCAGCCCCTTAAAACTATTTTCACACTTACTTCTCCGGATTTTGAAATACACAGATGTTTTGCTTAGGAAAGAAAAGGGTTGAAAAATAAAGCTAGAACCAAGCAGGGGTGGTGGCACTGCTATCGGGGAGGGAGACACAGGATCGCAAGTTCAGGGCCAGCTGGGCAACATAGTAAGGCTCTGCCCCAAAATGGAAAAGAAAAAGGGCCAAGGATGCAGGGTTCAGTTTCCACCAAGACCAAAGCCCGCCGCCCGCCCAAGGTGTCCTAGCGAGCAGGGCTGCTGTCCTTCAAGCTTGTTCATGAGTCGTTACCTCCGCCCCATGGGGCTGCTGTAGGGCAGCTGCTCAGGGGACACTGCTAGGCCGTCACCATTTTAGTGTGATTTGGTAAAGAAGTTAAATTTTTATTATAAATGAGTTAAATTTTTAATTTTTGTATGAAATTTTACTAGCATATTTTAAATGTGGGAACACGTCAAGTTATTTAGAAATTATAGAGCAGTTTTGCCCTTAGTTTAGCTTTCAAGAATATGTAGCAGTGAGAAATCCAACCTCCTATCATCCACTCGTTATGAACAGACGCTCGCATATGGGGACATGAACCACGAGTGGATCGGCAACGAGTGGCTGCCCAGCCTGGGCCTCCCTCAGTACCGCAGCTACTTCATGGAGTGCCTGGTGGATGCCAGGATGCTGGACCACCTGACCAAGAAGGACCTGCGGGGGCAGCTGAAGATGGTAGACAGCTTTCACAGGTAAGCGGCACCACGGGCCCACTCCCAGCCCAGACTTGACGGCCACTGTCTCCTGATCTCTGCTGTTGTTGGTCACTAGGAACAGCTTCCAGTGTGGAATCATGTGCCTGCGAAGATTGAATTATGACCGGAAAGAACTGGAGAGGAAGAGGGAGGAGAGTCAGAATGAAATAAAAGGTGAGTATTTGTGCCCAGAGGATGAAGTGTATGGGCTTGGATACCCCTGTGGCCCATACAGCAGCCTCAGTGATGAAAAAAATCAAGGGCAAGAACTTAAAAAAAAGACTGGGGCTCAGCAGCAGGCACTGGCCAAGCATGCTCCAGGCCCTGGGCGCCATCTCCAGCACCCAGAGGAGGGCAGGGAAGGCTTCAGGTGGAGACGGCTGTGCCGGCCTCACCCAGGAGAGAATGGCGAATGCCAGTCCCTGGAGAGCACTGGTGCCTGCATGAGTCTGAGCCACATATCTGGGGCTGCTTTTCTCCTGGGACTTCAGAGGTCTGAGCCACATCCCTGGTCCTTCTTATTTTATTGAGACAGGGTCTTGCTAAGTTGCTGAGACTAGCCTTGAATTTGCCATCCTCCTGCCTTAGCCTCCTGAGTCGCTGGGATCAGAGGCGTGCGCCACCACACCCAGCTAGTTTTCCTCCTATTGCCTATGCCAAATGTGCTGCTGCTCAGCAGTGCTGTCCCCCCACCCCACCCCGTGCTGCGTCACTGGGGTGAAGTGTGAGGCACCAGTGCTCTGGGGTTCGCCCAGGGCCACATGCAGAAGCACCAACTGCACCTGCAGCTCTGCTCCCACAGAGCATGAGGCCCTGAGCAGCCTTCAGCCTGTCGGGGAAAGGAGTCAGGTCCATCAGCCGGAAACGGGCTGTAGCCCAGGAGGCCCTGACTGCCCGTGGAGCCAGGAGGCCACTGATCCCAGCAGTGGTGGTGGGAGGGAGCCAGCCACCCTGGAGAGCGGCAGCCCCCGCACTGCTCTAGGCCTCCATGCCATCTCTGCGGCCCTGCAACGGCCTTGTGCATCCCTGGTTCTCCCTGAGAGAGAAGCTAAAGTGCAGTTGGAGGAGGCCATTTGGATGCCACTTGCTCACAGTTGTGTCAGCACAAGTCTTGGGAAAGACCACAGGTTGGCGTTGGCACCGACAGGTACGCACAGCCTTGTATCCAGGTGGCGAGAAGCGGACACAGTCCTCTGCTGTGTTCTTTGTGTCCCTTCTGCATCCCTTCACAGTTAACAAGAACGGCCTTTGGAAGTGGTTGGTGAGCATCTGAGTGGATTTCTAATCGAGCAGATTGTGTAATTTAATTTGCACAAGCTGTCCAAAGTCTTTAAGATGCTGGGTGGTGTCTTTATGTCTCTCTCTTTAAAGTGGGAAAAATGTTTAGGATATTTACCATGAGTGGAAACTTCCAGTCCAGAAGCTGTTTGTGCTGAAGTGAGTGAGGTGTCCAGGTGGTCATAGGGCTGGGGGTCTGTGTGTGAAACGTTGGTCCATGCTGGGGCCTGCTGGGGCCTGTGCTGTCTGGCCTCGCTCTGATCTGCAGAAAGAGCTTCTTCCTGTTGTGCTCAAGAGGAGCTCCGACGGGAGCCCTCTCCTGGGGAGTCTCAGTGCCAGGCGTGGCAGTCCTCAGCGTTTCAGGGGTGTGGTGAAGAGGCTCTCTGAAGCCATAGTCACAGGGTTACTCTTTTGCAGATGTGCTTGTTTGGAGCAACGATCGAGTGATTCGCTGGATCTTGTCAATTGGTCTTAAAGAATATGCAAACAATCTCATAGAGAGCGGCGTTCACGGGGCACTTCTTGCTTTGGATGAGACCTTTGATTTCAACGCACTGGCACTGTTGTTGCAGATCCCAACCCAGAACCCCCAGGTATGCCAGGCCCTGGCCACGCCCCACCCACTCAGGCAGTGTTCAGTTGTTCATGGTGGACAAGAAGGTGACCTCAGCCACTAGTGCTCTCTCTCTCCTATCACTATCCCTCACCCAGTGGTTCAAAATCAGCAGATGCTTTATTAATATTTTTGTTTCTCATCCTTCCATTTTCTGATGCAAGCATTAGATTCTTGAAGTAAACAAAAGAAGATTGTTTCATGGTAGGGCTGGGAGTGTAGCTCAGTGGTAGAGCACTTGTCTGGCATATGAGGCACTGGGTTTGATCCTCAGCTCCACATAAAAGAAAATAAATAAAATAAAGGTATCATGTCCATCTACAGCTAAAGAAAAAAAAAAGAATATTTTATTGTAGTTCTGCTTGTCAACGCAGAGATACACGCAGTTGTTACATCACAGAGAAATATCTGGGTATGCCTCCTGGAGGTCTTATTGACCTTTGCCAGTCTTTTTGACTCATGAGCCCATTTGTGATGTTTGTGTTCTACAGAACGTCGAATGCTTTTGTCAGTCGCCTGACCAGTGCACACAGCACACTTCCTGTGCACTTCCAGGAGGTGACAGGTCCCTCCCTCTGCCCTGACAAAAGCCCTGATGCTAAACATTATCATGGCTCCGGGTTTCCAGGAGTTCAGTTGAGTTTTCGAGTCTCAGTTTCAAAGATAATTGTAATATGCAAACCTTCTTAAAACTAGAATGATGAGAGTTTTGGTGGTGGTTTTGTTATTTCAGGCTCGAGCTGTCTTAGAAAGAGAGTTTAACAACCTTTTGGTCATGGGGACCGACAGAAGGTTTGATGAGGTAAGTTTTCAGTTGTACAGTGTGTGGTGGGGCTGGGGTGGAACCCAGGAGCACTGTATCACTGAGCCACATCCCCAGCCCTTTTTCTCTTTTGAGACAGTGACTTGCTAAGTTGCTTAGGGTCTCACTAAATGGGTGAGGCTGGCTTTGAACTCAGGATCCTCCTGCCTCAGCTTCCCAAGTTGCTGGGATTCTGCACCCGGCTTCACAAAACAGTCTTGTTTTCATTTTTACTATTTTTGATACTCCTCAAAAATGGTTTTCACATCATAAAACTGGTTGCAATCTAGGTATGTAACCTATAAGTTGTGTTTCAAGGACAACTGGATCTCCCACCCCAGTCCAGAGTCCTGTGCTTTGCTGTGCATGGAGGCACGTTTCAGGAGTATATCAACGCCAAATGTGAATATCCTCTCACACAGCCGCGGCTCGTTCATTCCCACGTTAGGTGCTCCTCACTGGGCCTTAGGAGAGCTCAGTGGGGTGGGGGAGAAGCCACCTCCTGTGACGACGAGGCTGGTCAGCAGTGGCCTGGCGTCAGGCGGGGCTCTCTTTATGATGAATCAAGGTGCACCCCACAGCTGGAGAGTGACGTCGCACACAGGCAGTGCAGTGGGAGCAGCACGTCCCCTGGGAGCTCAGGGCACGCCCCAGGAAGGGGTATGCTGCATGGGGACCAGGACACATGCACAGGTCCCACTTTCCTCCCAAAGACAGTCACTCTGCCAGCCGCAACTGTCCTTTATTTGTGTGTTTATTTATTCATTCAGGCAGGTGGGCAGATACAAAGGTAGGTGCGGGGGACTGGACCTGGGACACTGTACCCCTGCGCTACATCTCCAGCCCTTTTCATGTTTGTATTCACCTTCTATTTTGAGATAGGGTCTGGCTAAGATGCCCAGGGTCTTGCTGAGTTGCTGAGGCTGGCCTGGAACTTGTGAGCCTCCTGCTTCAGCCTGCGGGACGGCTGGATCCCGGCTGTGCTGCCTCGCCCCCCTGTGCTTTCACTTAGAAACGAAGCTTGTTTTTGGTCACAGGATGATGACAAAAGCTTCAGGAGAGCACCTTCGTGGAGGAAGAAGTTCAGACCAAAGGACGTCCGGGGCTTGGCGGCCGGGTCAGCAGAGACGCTTCCGGCCAACTTCCGGGTTACTTCTTCTATGTCCTCCCCCTCTATGCAGCCAAAGAAGATGCAGCTGGACGGTAGGTGGTGGGCCGCGTGACCCACCACTCGCTGGAGCATGAGCATCCCTCTTACCTAGAATGGCCATCTCGTGTGCTACCAGACGTTTAAGTGTGGCTGCATGCCCAGATGTCAGTGTTTTAAAATCAGCCCTAACAAGCGTTCATAAAAGTTCAGCAACAATAGAGGATTTTTAAGAACATCTTGTCTGGTTGAATCTGAGCATATTCTCTCAACTAATAAATTGAAGCCCCGGTGGTGTGCTCAGGGCTGTGGCTGCCGTCTTGACGTGGCATGTGGGTGTGGCAGGCAGCCCTGGCGAGCAAGCTCTTGAGATTGCACTGTGGCAGCTTTCAGACCACGGTGTTCACTTCTCTCCACCCTGGGAAAAACGGTGGAGTGATTTTAAACCTGACAGAGTTTTCAGTGTCTGCAAGCCCCGCCTCTACTGCCTTCTGCCCACCACCATGGCCTTTCTGTGTAAGCCCACATGTGCCTGTCAGGAAAGGGCTGCCAAGGAGACGGGACCCTGCTGGAGGCTGGGTGGAGCCAAGCTGGCCAGCCCCAGGCTTCCCAGAGAGGCCTGGGCTGCTCCCTGGGGTGGCCTCTCTGGCCCCAGGACTCAGCTGGTGTGTGGCTGGGAGGTTCCTGGGAAGGCCCTGCTCTGACCTGGGCTGACTAATGGGAGGCGGTGCGGAGAGGAGAGCCACCCTAGGGTTGAGCCCAGTTCCACTGCTCGGAGGTCACGACCTTGGCAGCATTTAGCTGTGCCCTGCTTCAGCTTCCCTGTCTGTGAAACGGGTGTCACATGGATTCTTCTCACGGAGGCTTGGCTGACTGCACGAGTCGGGGTCATTGGCAGCCCCTCTACCGGGCGTGGGCTTCGTTTGCTCTGTTTCTTGGTGCAGACGATGGGCTGTGGAGAGCAAGTGGCTCTCAGAATGTCCTTTTGGGGTTCAGTGTCTTCTGTCATTAGCACCTCCCACAAGGAGGTTTTGCTCTCACGTCATACGTACAAATCATGGAAAAGCACGTATATAGGAAGTTTTATTAGCTGGACTCTCTTGGTGAGAATGGCTTAGCACAGCATTTTTGGTAAAAGCTGGATTTTCTTTTGCTGGAGTTTAGTAATATACTTAAAGGGCAAAATCCAGTGTGTGTTTTAACTGGCAGCTTTCGGAGGATGAGCATCTTTCTTCTGAGGAGCATGCGGATGACTAACCCATGCCCACTGTGTCGTGGCCCTTGGCTGCTGGTCTATCCACTAGGGACAGTCCCTATGGGCGCTGGGCCTGTGTTCTCATTGTACATTTCCTCCTCACACTGCATTTCTTCTGTTAAATGTTAAGTGCAACAATAAGAACAAGAGTTTAAACTGACTAGAAATAAACCGAGGAGACTTTGTCTCCCAGAAACACTGAAGGTGTTGCAGCTGGTGAGATGGGTGGCTTACTGACTGGGGAGGGAGAGCAGGGGCCACTCCAGCAGCTTTCCTGGGCTCGAGATCCGGACGCACAGAGATAGCCAGTCCCATCAACCCATGGCAAGATGTTGCTCAAAGTGGTCCCCATATACCTGAGGGAAACCAGAAACTGCAGCTGGGGCAGCCGTACCTGCTCTAGGTGTCCTACCTGCCTTATGGTTTGCGAGGGGCTGGGCTCACCCCTGGGGCCTCAGGGTACGTTTCTTAAACAAGAACTCAGCTCTGTGGTCTCCATCGCTTCTAGTTGAAACACACTGGTGTAAGAGAAGTCATTGTCCTAGCCTGCGCCCTGGCTGGACACCCCTCGACCTGCTCTTTACCTCTGACCCATCCCATGAGCAGCGAGTGCTGGGCAGCAGGTTCCACCCCTGTCCTGGGTGGAGTTGGTCCCTTTCTGGCAGCCCTGTCCCAGGGCAGGGGCCATCCCACAGGAACAGGTGCTGGTGCACCTCATAGGGTTCTTGGAGGTTCAGTGCTAGGGCCAAAGGAAAGGTCTGTTTAACCGTAAATGCAGAGATTGAGGAGGAGCCAAGTGACTGCTTTAAGTGGTTGTCCTTTACTTATGCACATGTGTGTTTTGGAGTCATTTCTGTGTGCATAGTGCGCCCTTGCTGTTGTAGAGTAGGTGCCAGTGTCCTCGGGCTCCTGGGAGGTGGGAGGGACCCTCTTGAGCCCCCTGGTGCTCTTGCCCTGGCCGTCGCCCCACTCCAGCAGGCTCCCTCAGCTCCCCGGAGGCCCCACCCTAGGCGAGGAGATGTGCCCTGTGTGAGGTCTCAAAACTAACTGCACGCTGTGTTTGCACGCTTCCTGCTGTGGTGGTCGGAGCAGGCAGTGTATCGGGAGCACAGAGGTTGGATTCTGCTACAGTCAGGACTTACTCCTGCTGAAGCCTCCTCCGGTGAGTAGAGAGCAGCACCGTCCCCAGGAATGTTCCGGGCACACATTGGCAGGCCTGGATCTCAATGCCAGGCGAGGCTGTGGGCACTGGTCCTTGAGAGCCAATTCTGCTGCTGTGGAAGTACACCTGTCAGGTGGCTCTGGTGCTGCGCCTGTCAGGAGGAGGGCGGTGTGACCTCGTCCCTCCTCACGCCTGCGCGCAGGGGCCTGCTGGTGGGGAGCACATCCTCGGGAGCGGGCCAGAGCCCAGTTGGGAATGCGCCTCGTGAGGCTGCTGCATCGAGTGACACCAGAGCCGTCCGCCTAAAGGTTGACTTTGAAGCACAGAGCCACGTCTCTGGGCCAGCTCTGGTGACTGGGATGTGTCTGTGCGGGGGGTCCTGTCCCACAGGTCCAGGGTGCTGCTGGCCTCAGCCTGCCCCGTGAGAGCTCTCGCAGGGGGAGCTGCCTGCCTTGCTCCGCTGGGCATCTTAGCTGGATTTGGGTTGGCTTTGGGTCTTGCTTGCTTAGTTGGTGCCTTCTTTGCATGCCCTCGGGGACAGTGCAGACCCTGGTAAGCTCATAGTGATGCTCGGGCCGGGCAGGGGTGGCAGGGGCGGGACTGCAGGAGGGCGCGTGCTGAGCGCGGCCTCTGTTCTCTCTTGCAGTGTACCCGCACTACTTCTACAGATGACCCAGCCTTCTGAATCCAGCAGACGACAGTTTAGAATTCAATGGATCTTTAATCTGTTGATACTCCTTATATGGACCCTAAGATATTTTATTACAGAGTTTTTAACTAGTGAAAAATTCAAGAATATCATAGAGAAAATATTTTAGAATTTACTGTTTCTTATATTTATGTGAACTCCGCTCCTCCTGGCGTAGTTACTGCTTCCCCCCGGGTCCAGACTCTGGGTGCCCTCCCGTTCGTGGCTTATCCTAATGGCAGTCCTTCACGTGAATGTACTGTAATGCTTGTATGTATTGATCCTATGAACAAATGTAGGGCTTTTGTAAATTATGCACTTATTGTAATTATACTGTTTAATTTTTTAATGATAAACCAGGACAGAGAGAAGGATTTTACTGCGTTTATAAAATCAACGTGACACAGCAGTGTCATAGCATTACCAGCTCACACAATCATTTTGAAATAAGCAGACTTCATTTCAAGCGATTACTGTTGGATTTTAATGACCAACCTTAACTATACTTTTTCTATCAAGAAATCTCAGCTTCTGATAAACTTGGGGCTGAAGGGTTGAGAACACTGTGGAAGTCCCCAGCCCTGGCTCAGCTTCCCTGCCCAGTCTCTGGACTTGAAGGCTTGCCCTGGCACTGACTGCAGCTGGGAGCCACAGGGAGCCGCTCAGCGGGACCTGGGGCCTGGGGCACCTCCGTCCAGGCAGCAAGTGGGGGCGCCCTCCAGCTGCTCTTGAGGACCAATCCAGCACTGTGGCTCGCTGGCTCCCAGAGGTGGTCTCCTGGCGAGGGCGAGGGCGAGGGCAGGGCTCCTGAAACCGCGTGCAACTCTAACAAAGGCCTTATTTTTCTTGTGTAAATCTTGTTTTTACATTTGTTTGTACACATGTTTAAAGAATGAACCTCGTGGTGCATTTTTAGACTTGGATGGTGTAGCCATTTTGCATTGTCTGAGTAGCAGATGTAACTTACTTTTTAAACGGCACATTAAAAGCCAGCCCGGAGAGTCAGATCATGGTGTTATTTATTAGCAGCTGATGTGCAGATGGAGGGCGCTGTCTCTTTACATTTGGCTTCTGCTTTTGATTCACTTGTACAATTCATTGTTACTGTTGTGTTTTTCTATTAATCTTTTGTGGACTTCCTGATTATGTAACAAAGTATGTACAGTCTACTTTTGAACTATTTTTATCACAGTATTATTTATTGCTTTCTTTCAATAAAGTACTGAAGCATTTTCCACTGCCAGTGAGGAATGCTGGGAGTAAGCCGTCATCACGCTGAAAACGGGCTGTGGCAGTGTCGCCATCTGAAAGGGACACTGAAGGCCAGAAGAGGGCAGTGGAGGAGCGGGTGTCATCCCACAAGAGCATCCTGACATGCGCGGAGAGTCCCCAGTGTCCTTTCCAGCCGCTGGCTCTGCTCTCCCACCCACACCCACTGCCTCATCTCTGGCACCCTTCCAGATGCGTGGGTGCTGGGCACCAGGACGCCTGCTGCCCTGGGGGCTCACACGGGTCCTGAGTCACGGAGCAGCCCAGTGAGGCAGAGGGAGTCAGGCTCCTGGGAGGGACTGTGCGGGGGTGCTGAGAGGCTACTCAGTGGCCAACCGGGCAGCCAGAGCAAGTGCCTGTGCGGCCGGGGATGGCATCACATCTGGGGGTGGCACGGCCAGCACTGCTGGTGTCTGCCCCGCTGAGGCCAATGGGCTTTCCCGGAGGGCACCATGCCGTCTTGGGACAGAGGTACCTGGCTCGTCTCTGTTGGGGCAGAGCTGACCGGAGTCTGTGTCCTGTCTGGGGCCTGTGTGCACTGGCCCGGTGTTCAGGACCTGTGGTCTCTGGCTGGGCTCAGTGCTGCACCTGCCCACGGCAGCGTCGGCTATGCTGGCTTTGGGCCTTCCCGAGTACGCCGGGCTTGCACTGCTCTGCTGTGTCCCCCGGCAGCTGCCGCGGCTCACTCACCCACCACGTGGCCCATCAGCTGTCCCGTGGCCTAGGGGCCCTGTGCTCAGCTGAGTGCACTGCTGCCACGCGTGGCCGCCTGCTGCCCAGGGTGGTTGTGGGCCTCTCCCCAGTCAGGTTTCCATGGTGGTGGGGGAGCCTCTCTTCCCTCATCCCTCCTCCAGGCAGTGGGTGGACGGGTGTGGTCACTGCTGCTATTCTGGACACCCACATGCGACTTACTGCACTTCCAAATGTCTCAAATACTTCTGTCTCCTCGTTTCCTGGGCTCCTTCCTTGGTGAGAATGAGTAGCCTCTTCGTTCCCTGGACTCAAAGCGCGAGCCTTTCCAAGTACAGCTGTGCCCGTATTCACAGAGTACTGTCCTCAGACCCGGGCACCAGGGTCCACAGCTGCTCGAGTTTCCCGGGGAACCTCCCTGTGCACGCTGTCCGGCGTGCCGGGTCCTCTCAGGAGCTCTGTGCAGTGAGGTGTTTCCTGTGTCATCAGGTGTGATGAGAAAGTGCGCACACTTGAACGTTCTCGAGATGCTCAAACCTGTGATGCGGAGCCATGATACAGAGGGCTGCGTCGCCCAGGGCTGGCTCACACAGGCGCAGCACAGTCACCGTGGGAGGAGGACGCAGGACCGTCGCGGGGGCTCTACGGCAGGGCCCTCCCGCCTCCTACAGCTTCGGGGGGTTCCAAGCATTCCTCCACTCTGGGTCACAGCACTGTGGCCTCTGCTCCGCCTGCCTCGGGGTCTCCTCTAAATGTCTTCCCTCTACTTCCTGTGGGGGCACTTCTTCTGGCCCACTCATGCAGTTCATTCAGGGAGGTCTCATTTCAAGATCCAGACTTAACATCCACACAGACCCCTTTTCCAAATAAGGTCACATTTGCAGGTTCAGGATTTGGTCATTGACGTGTCTTTTGAGGACCCCCTTCTGCTCTTCACTGTTTCTGGTAAAGATGGCTCACCCTGCCCTGCCCCAGCACCTTGTGGGATCAGAGGCCACTGATATCACATAAAGGCAAAGTAGGCCGAGAGGAATGCCCTCAGTGGCCCGCAGTGCTGCTGGAGAGCACCCCTGGGCCGGAGGAGGGAGCTTCCAGACCCTGCTGAGGGGCGAGGTGAGGAGAGGCCACTAAGACTGACCCAGGGGACCAGCAAGAAAACAGAGGAAATTGTAAAATAAAACAGCACTTGGCTCTTGGGACCATCTGGAGTGAGCGTGTGAAGCCTCCCTGCAGATCCGGGCCCCCTGTTCCCGTGCAGCAGCAGCCCTGGGCCCACTTGGTGAGCGCCTGCTGTGTGCCACGTGTTTCAGGTGCTGGGTGACTGCCCTTCCAGGAAAGGGTAAGATTCCAGATTCCATCCAGGTGCAGCCCAGGACTTTGTGCTGTTGGGGAGGGACTGGGTGGAGGAGCTGCCCGGGGAGACCAGCTCCCGGAGTGTCTTCACACTCAAGTGGCATGCACAACCACTCAGGTAACACTGATGCCGTGCCCAGGACTCAGGGCCCTGGTTGGTGCTCGCTGCCCTGTGTCAGGACGAGCTCCTTTTTCCATCTGACCTCTCAGGCAACAAATCCTGTGCCTTGACCCTGATGGAATAGGTCTCACTGTTCACCTTCCCTTCCAAAGGAGCCAACAGAAACCAGTTCTTGACTCTTTCTTTTTTTTCTTTCAATACCCAAAAATTGAACCCAGGAGCACCCACTGACGACTCACATCAACAGCCAGCCCTTTTAAAAATTTTTTATTTATTCTAATCAGTTATACATGACAGCAGAATGCTCTTCGATCCATGGTACACAAAATAGAGCCCAATTTTTCACTTCTTTGGTTGTACAGGACGTAAGGTCACACCATTCATGCAGTCACACATGTACCTCATTCCACCGCCTTTCCTATCCCCATGCCCCCTCCCCTCCCTCTTGCCCAATTCAAACTTCCTCCACTATCCCATGCCATCCCCCCACTATGGATTAGTATCCATTTATCAGAGAAAACATTAGGCCTTTGATTTGGGGGGATTGGCTTATTTTGCTTAGCATGATATTCTCCAATTCCATCCATTTACCTGCAAATGCCATGATTTTAGTCTTATTGTCGAGTAATATTCCATTGTGTATATATGCCACGTTTGTTTTTTTTTTTAAATCCATCTACTGAAGGGCATCCAGGTTGGTTCCACAGTTTAGCTATTGTGAATTGAGCTGCTATAAACATTGATGTGGCTGAGTCCCTCTAGTGGGCTGATTTTAAGTCCTTTGGGTATAGACTGAGGAGTGGGATAGCTGGGGCAAATGGTGGTTCCGTTCCAAGTGTTTAAAGCAATCTCCATACTGCTTTCCAGATTGGTTGCACAATTTGCAGGCCCACCACCAATGTATGCGTGTACCCCAACCCTGTTTGAGACAGTCTGGCCAAGTTGCCAGGCTGACCTTGAACCTTTGACCCTGCACTGACACACCCAGCTTACTCTTTACTCTTGGTGAGGGGCAGTCAATGATCTCCTCTAGGCCCTACCTTCAGGTTGAGTGCTCTCAGGAAATTAAAGGAAGTGATCAGCTTAGGACGGACGGGGTATGAACCCTGTGGGGCTGGAGCAATCCCAAGGGCTTGCACATGCTCCGTCCCCAGTCCCCTCTGATTTTTCTTTTAACCATGTACATCATTGTAACCCATTCAGCCCCATCGTCCTGGATGGGGGACACTTATCAAAACTTACATAAGCAAAAAATAAGTCACTTATATTATCTTTTGAAAGAAACATTTTTAAAAGAGTTATTTTTTGAGAGAAGTAATACGTGAATGATTGGAGCATTTCAATGTACATATTTTACAATACATGAAAATGTATATGAAGGTTATATAAGATTTAGGTGAAGATTTCTAACTTAGGATAAATGCACTGGGGTCAACTTCACCAAAACATTTGCAGAATTAAAACTTGGGCTTGCTAAGTTCAAATGAAGCACACACAAGTCGGACACGTCCTGCTCGCTTTCTGCCCTGACCATGGGGACTGTAACCTGCCGATGTGCTAGGTGCGGCCTCCCGACTCCTCCAGGAGGCCCTGACTTTGGCCTCTCTTTGTGGTTGATGAAACTTACAGCATGCAGAACCGTCATTCCTTCTCCGTCTCCCAACAGAAGTAAAGGTGGTTAGATCGCATGTGTGTTACCAGGGATTGAACTCAAGGGGGCTTTACTACTGAGCTACACCCCCAGCCCTTTTAATTTTATTTTGTGTCAGGGTCTCACTGAGTCACCCAGGCTGGCCTCCAGCTTGTGATCCTCCTGCCTCAGCCTACCAAACTGCTGGGATTACAGGCATGCACCACCACATGGTCCACTATTTCCATTCTAAAAACTATCTTTAGTTTTTTTTCCAGCATGAAGGGAGCCCATCAAAAATCTGGAAGAAGTATCAACTGTAACATGCAAATATTTGAATTTTCCAAATTCTGGCAAGTGTGTGACGTCCATCTGCCAAATATGGTTAGGTATCGGTCCTCTAGGATTGACTCCAAGATTAACTTGTGGTAAAAAGGTCACACAATTTTGACATTGTTTTATTATTTGTCTAGCTTGTTCCTTAGTTATTTTAAAACGCTTTTGTAAAGTATTAGCATTGACATGGAACCTTTTATGAAAATTTGTAGCTTCTTCTAGTGTAGAGAAAATATGTATGTTATGTGTAGTTTTATCTGCTAAATCATTGCCCAAACTAAGGGCTCCAGGCAATCCTGTATGTGCCCTGATATGTCCTATAAAGAATGGATCTTTTCTGTCCCAGATTAGACTTTGTATAGTGGAAAACAAAGAGAAAACAGTAGAGGAAGGGGAAATCCTACCAGCATCTTCAAGGGATGCTGTAGCATTAACTATATACTGACTATCGGAAAATAAATTAAATACAGAATCTTTAAACATCACAAAAGCTTGTAATACTGCATTAAGCTCTACCTTTTGAGCTGATTGTCTGGGTACTAAAAATGTAAAAGTTTGATCAGGGGTAACTACTGCTGCTGTACCATTATTTGACCCATCAGTGAATATATTTGGAGCATTCATGATAGGTGTTTTTCTTGTCATTTTTGGAAAAACTAGAGGATGCGAAGACCAAAAAGACAATAAAGGATTAGATGGTAAGTGATTACCAAATGAAACATTAGATTTACACATGATTATTGCCCAAGTATTTAATTCATTAGCTAACTCATCAATTTGATCCATAGTTTATGGAGTAATAATTTTATTGGGAGAAATTCCAAACACTCCCTTTGCTGCTTTT